CCTGCCCCGCCGCGCCCCCTTTCCCCCACCTCGACGGCCAGATGGCGGATCACAGTACACCCGACGCTTACAGGAATGCGGAATGTCCGCCGCTTGTCTTGCGCCCATCCTCTCCGCGAGGCGATCAGCTCAGATAGACGAAACGCTCGCCGTGCAGCGCACGACCTGCGCATACCACTGCCCCGTGTCACCATTACTATCGCGCGTAGCAGCAGTTGCAAGAGCTGCAGTCCCGGCAAGAGCAGTGCCGAGTCTTGCCTTATCCCATATATGAACTGGAATCATCCCCCTCGCGAGGTAACAAATTTGACCAAGAGCCGCTGCTGCTACTTCCCCCGACCATACGCATATGCTTTATAAGCGAATTCAACGCACCGCATACACGTTATACTCGAATAGGCCTAAATTTCGAAAACAACGCACATGCGTAACTCGAATACAACGTATCTGTGTTATGAGTCCAGAGGCTGGCAATCCCATTTGAAAGCCAGAAAGACCGACAAGCAGGGAACAACAAATTGCAACAATGCATCCCTCTCGAAGATCACAAATTTTATCAAGAACCGCTGCTGCTTGCGCTACCGTAGTAGACTCCAGGGGCTGGCGACGCCATTTGAAAGCCAGAAAGACCGACAACCAGGGCCAATAAATTACACCATCAAACAGACGAAGGATGTAACGAAAGAAAGCACATTATTAGACACATTACGTCCGACAAGTCGGGCTTGTGGGCAGGCACAGCTGCAGTTGCAGCTGCGGCTACGGCACTGCCAATTGACTTACTGTGAGGGCACGGGTGCGCAGCCCGTAGTTTGTTGGCAGCCCTTAGGCTGCGGTATAGTGGGCTTCGGCGTCTGTGTCAAGGTGTCGCATTTTTGGCGGCGGGCGACCGGGACGCAAGTGGGTTTTTCGGGGGCAAAACAAATTGGGGGACCGGTCCTTGGCAAAATTGCGGACTACCTACAGCTAGCTCTGGTAGAACCGGGACTTTTGGAAAAACGAAGGACGGTCCTCGGGTGGAAATGGACCCCAAAAAGAAGTGGGGGCATTGGACCGGTCCTCGGGCAGAAGCGGACCCCAAAAAGAAGTGAGGGCATGTGATCTGCAAAAGGGCCCTC